TAGAATGGACTCAGTAAGATGACTCACTTGCAGTACATGGCTGAGTTTATTTCCCAGGATCCATGGGGGAAGGAGAGAACCAACTCCCACAAGCTTTCCTCTGATCTCTACATATACACTATGGCATATGTATACCTGCATCTATTCACACACATTACACACACACATGCACACACACACACAAATAATAATAGTAATAATAATAAATAAAAGTATGGTCTTGGCATAGTAATAATCATAGATCAATCAATTCAAAAATCAAATGAGAGTTAGCTCAGTGATAACACTTGCTCAGCAAGCATGAGGACCTAAGTTCAAATCCCCAGCGCCCATATAAAAAGCCAGGTGTGACTGTGAGTGTCTGTAATACCAGCATGTGGGCCAGAGGCAGGTAGCTCCTCAGCCAGTGTAACCTATGGAGTGAGTGAGCTTCCAGGTAAGTGAAAGGTCCCGTCTTAAGGAAGCAAGACAGAAGACACTCAGTGTCCTGTTTTCCACTTGTACACTCATTTGCACAGTCACATGCTTGCAACACACACACACACACACACACACACACACAGAGGCTCAGATCCACATACAGCAGGATAGAATACAGAAGTTACAACAGCAGCATTGGGTGAGAGGCAAGTTCGGGGGTACACAGAGGTGCCACCTGCAGTCCCTCACCAGACTACCTGGTCACAGTCCAGCAGAGAACTGTGAAGCAACTTCTTGTCCACTCCCCTGTCTTAGTTTCAGATGCTATCACTAGGCTTACATGAGCCTAAACACAGAATGTATCAATCTAGATCAGCTAATTCTATTATATATAGTTAGAGTCTTCCATTGTTGAAGTGGCATTTCTTAAATTGTGGGTCATAACCCATAAACTTGCAATGAAATCAATTGGGAGGACCACAACTAGTATTTGGGGGAGGGGGTAAAATAAAGCATCGTATTTAAATACCAATTAAGTCCCATTTAGATGGCATGTTTCTCTTTAGTATGTATAACACTCAGTGGGGCTCTAGAAATCTTATCTCCACATGCATGTGTCTGTGTGTGTATCAGGCAGCAACCTGATGGGCAATTCATTCTGTGTCATGATCAGAAACTAAAAAAGAAAAAAAAAATTCACTATTTTACTCAGTGGGGATGATGAGGAACTGGAGACTTCTTAAAAGGAGTAATAAGCAGAAGGGCACTTTTTAAAAGCCAGGAAGACCACAAATGAAGAGGATAGCCCAGAAATTACCCAAGCATATAAAGCTGTTCATAGCTAGGCTATCCTTGGTATTTCAGTAATTGAGCTTAGCAAGATTTGAATTTCCAAAGCAACCTCACTGCAAGACTAGAAGTATAGATGTTATCTTGAGATTGGGCGAGATTGGAAAGAATGACATGATTGATCCAGTAGACCATCTTGCAACACTTGTCAAAGTAGACGTTATGCCAGATTTCAAATGCTCTTGAAAATAGTTTGGAAGAGGCACGGAAATGCCTTAAAACAGAATCCTTACATACAGATGCAGATTTAATCTAACAGTTCTATTACAACCAAACTCCTAGCTCAAGATTTAACTGCACAAGCTTTCCCACAAGATGAAAAAGAACTGCAAACACATAACCAATCATCGTAGAATTTAATGACCACATTTATCTGTGAATCCAAGAGGCTGTGTGACCTGTTGTTTAAAAACATTGTTCACGGACTAGGTAAGATGGGTCACAGCCATGGACTCCATCCTGCCATGCCCACCTTCCTGAAGACTTTCTGGGACAAAATGGACCCACCTATCTGGAATCAGTGTCCCCTAACTGGTTTTAACTTATGTTCCATGTGATTAGAATTTCTTCATCAGTTACCAAAAAGCTTCCAGGGGACGTACAGGCTCCTTCCAGATTGGGTATGAGCCAGAAGTATACTCGTAGGTGACAAAACAAAACAAAAACTATGTGTACAAAGCCTGGCCATGGGCTGGTGAGATGGCTCAGTGGGTGAAGGCACTAGCTGGCCAGTTTGGTAATCTGAGTTTGAGTCCCAGAACCCACATAATGGAAAGAAAGCCCGGAAATACATGTGGACAACTGCCTTTCGCCAGGTGAGACTACACCAAGGTAGACACCAAAAGAGAAGACATTCAGAACTCTGAGAATTTGGAGAACTCAAAATTTAAACAGCCTTCTGGGTCATTATGAAGATACAGTTGTCAAGGTAGATGAATAGAACAAATTTATAGGCATGCCTGGTGGCTTATTTCATTAAGTTTTCACTATTGAGACATAAGTTATGTGGGTCCTTTGTTCCCTGAAGAGTTACAGGCCACCCCAGTAGTTACATGGTGGCCTAGAGTCACACTGCCTGGGTTAATGTCCCTCAGCACCAAGCCACCCCCACCCCTCCCCCACCCCGCCACCTATGTGAGCTTGGGAAAGTCTCTTAGCCTTCCTTCTCTGAGAGGTTTTGCTTCCTCATTGGTAATCAATGACAATACCAGCACCCTCATCAAAGGATGTTGGAAATATGAAATGAACTGGTATATACTAAGTGCCTACAATAGCACCTGGGACAGAATAAGGGCTCCCCAAATGCCCATTATTCTCCAATCAAAGCTACTTGGCCCTTCCAAATTTCTATGTATTTCTAACCAGGTCTATGTGTTTCTTCTTTCCCGTTCCTTTCTAACATCAAACGTCTTGTGCCACTCCAAAAGAAAATTATTTTCCATTCTGAAAGGCACAACTTGTCAGATCTGTGGTACAAGTTCTTCTGAAATTAAATATGTGTTCCCTTCTACCCTAACTCAGCAGATAACTCAGGCCTTTGACTGGTATGGAGTTTGAAGTCTGGCAAATTGGCTTTCTGTGTCAATAAGCATTTGAAAAATATGACTAATTTCAAATGTTAAAAGAACATTTCCCAACCTTCATACTCGTGAGGGTCTAAGCTATAACTCAGGCTAGTTTCTTCTCAATTCACAACCCAAGTACCCGAAGCAATGAGCAAGGAAAGCCAATTAGAAGAGAGAAACTAAAACTAAAAATCGAGCCCTACTGGTGGAGAAATAGGAGAGAACAGTCAATCCTTGGCTGTTTCTTACTCTGTGCGTTTCTTTATTAACCAAAGTTACCATCAGTATAGAACTGCAAGCTGCCAACAGCCCTTTCCACGCCTTCCATCCCTTCAGCCCACAATGACTGAATGAGCTGAAGGGAAATACTTGCACCCTGCAATGTGTGCAGATCATCTTGTATAATTCTACCACAAAAGCCTCTTTCAAACATTCTAGTTGTTTATTATGAGTTGTAGGCCTAAAACGCCAGAAGAAAAACAGACACAAGGAAAAGCTTCAAGGTCATATTTACCCTTTGAAATATGTGCCTAACCTACACGTTCAATACAGTAAACACTCAAAGCTCCAACCCACCTTTGAAAATTACTCTGATGAATAGTTATTCATCAAATATTATGATTTGTCAATATATAATTTGTCAAAATACATGATTTATCAAAATATATGATTTGTCAAAAACTAAGTAGAACTCTTTCTAGTTCCCCAACCTACCTCTAATAAAGCATTGTTAATGTTTTCCTATTGACTCAAATCTTCCCCAAACTCAAGACGGAATATAAAGGCCAGTAGGAAATAAATGAAAAAATAATTGGATTCTGTAGAGGCAAGACTGAACGCATCCATTCATCCAACAGGAATTCCACCTCAATCAAATACATTGTTTTTTTAAGGAGTTTCACCAACTTCCTGTTAAAAAAATCTCATAAACATGTTCTATTTTTGCCAATTTTTCTTATGCAATTAAATGGCTTTGTGAAAGCTGAACCAGAAAAACAATATATTTTTACAAGCTCATTATTTGTGCAGTCAAGCATCGTTGTATCTTCACCATTCATCAGTAGTCAGCCATGAGAATTCTGTTTCCTTGGGCAATAGGAAAGCTAAAAAGAAAATGTGTTCACAATAGGCCATAACGTGTGAAATCCAGAATGCCCCAAGTCAGTGGTATAGCCAGCAAGTTCATCTGGTTTGCATTTTTGCTGAAAACCCTAACAGTGGCATGGACACAAATCGCTTTAACTTAGAAGCCATATCCTTAATCATTAATTTCCTTCGTGTTTCCTTCCAAACTCCACTCCCTAACAAAAGTCCATCACTTCATTGAGAATCGCTGCTGTTAAATACTCCTGGGAAATCTTTTGGCTTCAATCGTTTTGCCGGCATGTTTATTGTAGCTTATTTCAAATTATTTCTCCCTACATCAAATGTATGAATGGCAGACATACACAACCTTAGATCCTAAACTGGGGGAAACCACAGTTCAAGGAAGCCTGGGCACCCCCAGATGACAGATCCCAGCCACCCTGCACACCACCTGCCTAGGCACCCTTAGATGGCCCAAGGCTTTCATTCTGCGCCCATCCATGGGAGTTCCAGAAGGTAAAGCTCCTTCAACAAAGACCACAGGGCGCGCAGTTTGGGGTAACAACTATGCGGGCACGCGTCACGGGTGGTTGGGGAACCGAGAGCATTCTCATGGTTGTTTTCATGTAGAATTTTAGGAGCCAGTAGGGTATCTGGATGCCCAGACCCTCTCATCTCCACAGCCGCAGAAATCAGGGCTGCCCTGGTCCTGGCACTAAATGCTCCCCTTTACCAGCCGCTGCTTGGGCTCAGGCAGCCAGGGTGAGCCACTCCGAGTGCCACTTGGTGTATGGCTCTCGCTGGAGCCCATGATCTCCAGGAGCTCGGAGAAAAACACTGACTTCACAGGACTCAACCCTCCTCCCTCGGCTTCAAGGCAGCACCAGGCAGCGGTGTCCCAAGCGCTGCGCCCGGCGCCAGAAGGCACCCGGGGGAGAGGGATCGCGCGGCTACACGCTCTCGGGGCTCGGTCCCCAGGAGCCAGGGCAGCTCGTACCGAGAGCTGGAGCCACGGAAAACTGCCCCCACGGGCAGAGGGGGCAAGCGAGGTCCCAACCCTCCCGGCCGGTCCCCTGGTACCTCGCAGCCGTACAGCTGACCCAGCTGCTCCACGATCCACTCCTCCAGCACCAGCCGCTTCCGAAGCTCCTTTCGGTCGTATTTCACCGTCACTTTTCCCTGCTGATGTCGCCGCTGCTGCTGCTGCTGCTGCTGCTGCTGCTGCTGCTGCTGCTGCTGCTGCTGCTGCTGCTGCTGCTGCTGCTGCTGCTGCTGCTGCTGTTGCTGCTGTTGCTGCTGCTGCACCTGCCCCGCAGCGGCCACAGTGGTCACGGGCGCCGAGTCCTCCCGGGAGGAGCCCGGGCTGCCGCCGGTACCACCGCGAGGACTCTGGAAGAAGACCCGCGTGCCACCGCCTCCGGCCCCGCCGCCGGCCGCCTCGCCGCCTCCGGTCACCACCGACATGTCCCCGCGCACCGGAGCCGGAGTGTGGCCCGGAGGAGGGGCGGGCGAGCGCCTGGCGCGCTACCACCGCCGCCGGGGCAGCAGCATGCGAGGGCTCGGCCGCACCTGCTCACCGCACGCCCGCCGCCTCTCCGGGAGAGCAGGAGGAGCGGAGGGAGGTGGGAGGAGGGAGGAGGGAGGAGGGAGGGGGAAGGGGAGGAGGGCGGACACCGCCGCCTTAAAGACGCCGCCCAGGACCCTCTCGCTCCACCGGGCCGGGATCTGGAATGCGCTGGGTAGCTGCGGATGAGACTGGCGAGGCTCTGGAGCCTGGGACAGTCTTCTACGCGAGTGTCATCGTCTCTTGCAGACAGGAATTGCGCTTTTCGCACAGTCCCGGGGCGCACCGAACCTGTGGACTCCCAGGGTCTCTGTCCCGCGCTGCTCCCCTGCAAAAGGGTCGTGGGAAGTGACCGCGCCGCAGTTCTCTCTCGCCTGTGGGTTTCCAGGGATGCGAGGCGTGTCTCCTTCCCTCTCCTTTCGGCCCCACCCCGCGGCTCCAAACACACATTCCTATTCACGCCACGACCACCAGGGATGCCACTTCCTCTGTCGGATTGTGAAGAAAATTGATGAGGCGATGTTTGTGCAATCAACCAGGCCTGAGAAATTATTTCCAGACTGGTTTTTCCATTCCTACCAAGCGCCTGTTTCACCTTAGGCAGGGGACTAAGGTAGCTTTATATATACAGAGCAAAAGTGTTGATCAGCGCTGAGAGTGAGGAGCCAGGACCATGCAGACCCTGAACGTTTCTCTAAGTCAGGGCCAGTTTGCTGGGCTTCAAAATCTACTGTTGCATTCCCAGCTCTGCCAGCTCTCCTCCATTTCTAAACAACCTCTTTTACCCAGGAAAGCAGCTGCATTGACTAGCTTGCTTAAAACACATCGGGCAACAGAGTGGAATTGCCAATGAATGAGCTTATTATAAGGTTTAGGGCTAAGAGGTGGGAAGGGAGTTATAAACAGAAAACTACATGTGTGTGCGTGTAAAATTACAGGGAGACATTAACCTATTTCTGCTGTACATAACGCATTTCTGTTCAGGCAACTGAAAGAAACCACAAAGGCATTTACAAAGAAGGAAGTAGCCCTTAAGAATGTATAAACAAGCTGGGAAGGTTGGTTACTTGGAGCTCTGGGAAGGAGCTCTGCATCTTCTACAGTGCAGAGGATTCTTGGTGAGATTCTGGACCATAACGACAAGGACACAGAAGGAGCCAGCAGGCCAGGCTGTGCCATCACCTGCTGGTACCTCAGTTCTACCCAGGTTTCAAAATGCTTTTGTTTCCTCCACCTACAGTTTTCCAGGAAGAGTCCAAGTGGGGATTTTCCCAGCATTCCATGCCTGCAGCTCACTGGGAGAACAGGCCTTAATGAATATAAAGGAGAGGGCTGCATTCAACAGAGTGACTGATGTTGGCCTTAGACTCCTGTCATGAAGAGAATCAAAACCAAAAGATCAGATTTCTGCCCCCACAAAAAGGTCAGCTGTGCATTAGAAGCAAGTTTTTCTGCAAACCTAGCAGACACAAGAGACACGAATTTCCATGATGAGCCCCCTAGATAATGATAACCAGTCTGTGTATTATCCACCCATGGCTGCCTTGTAGAGTCTATCAGACCATCTTAAAACTGGAAGCCATAGCCAAGAAGTGAATGTCTTCACAAAATCAAACTCTCTACAAGGAGGATGTGGAGAGAGTGCAGCAGTTAAGTGTACCCCACACAGAGGAAGCTTGTCTCCCTCCAGACATCTGGTTCCTTGCCAAATTGGCGAGCACCAGCTTTAACCAACTGAACTAACCAGAATTTAAATTTAAACAAAGACAACTGAAATTTTAGTCAATAAGAAGAAGCTATATAAAATCTCTGCCCTGGTCTGGTGAGAGATGCTGTAATACTAATTATTTTTAAACTTGTACCCGTGATCTGGTGGTATGGCAGAGTGGGAAATTCCAACTTCTTCCTCTGAGACTTTGGACAATGAAGTCAGTCATTCGAGAATGGCTTCAAAGAAGTTATGAAAATTCAAGAAGTTCTTTCTGAGGAATTCTTATGTCAATTCTTTCTCATTACATAGGGCACCTTTTCCTTGGTGCTTAAAACTCAGTTTTTGCTGGCAACTTCAAAATGACAAAAGACATCTAACCATGTAGAAACTGTCAATGAGTTAAACAGACTCCTGGCATAGCTGTGTTGGCCTTCGGGTTCCCTAATGACTCTGGCTTGTAAGTGGGAGTTAAACTGAAACAGAAAGTTTCTCTCTCTAGAAACACACATTCTCCACCAGTACATAGCTGACCTTGGATGTGAACTCCATGGCCTCAAACACCACACTTCATTCCGTGTTTGCAACTGCAGAACTCTCTCCTCAAATTTTGACAGACACTACAAATATTGCTCTTGTGGGTTTCCAAAGTTGAAGGCAAAATATTTGGTAATAAAGTAGTTATTTCCAGGCTAGGGACCTTTTACTAAAATGACTATTTAAATTAGCAGGACTAGGGTGGAGTTCAGCAGTAGAGAGTGCTTGCCTCAGATGAGCAAGGCTCTGGGCTCTAACCCCAGGACTGTATGAACACAAAAATAATAGCAAACTGACAATAGTTCTCATCTCCAAGATCATGCAGAATTGCCTATGAGAGAGAGGGATCGTGAGCTGAGTTTCTCTGTATGCACTAGAGCTAAGACAAAGTGAGGACATAGTAACACAGCAGCTGTCTGCAAGCCAGGAAAAGCACCGTCACCAGAACCTGACCAGGCTGGCACCCTGGTCTTGGTCTTCCAGACTCCAGAACTGTGAGAAAATAAAATTTTGCTATTTAAGCAGCCCTCTTTCTTTTTTTCTTTCTTTTTTTAAATGAGGCTTTTTGCTACTCTAAAATTCCCCCCACTGAAGAAGTAACTCTAAAATCTTTTAGGAATTAGATAAGCGCTCCCAAATACTTTTGACATTATTGGCCTTTGGAAAGAGTATGCTGCTAAGAGGCCCAAGGACATTTTGACTTTTAGCCAAGAAACTAGCTACTTTTCTTTGGGGTCTTTTTTGCCTTAACTGCCTAGCCAATTCCTACATCCTATTCTTATCACACCATCCTCTGAAGAGGTTACCCAGATTGCCAGTAGGGAATCGGGGTGCAGACTGCTCTGGCTTCTTCCATGCTGAACAGGCATGCAGGGTACCCGTTCAGTAGGTCTCTCTAGAAGACTCCCAAATTGTATAACTTTTATCTGTTGGGAAAAAAGAAAGTCCTTGACTGGTGAATAGGGGATGTGAAGGAGAAGTAAAGGCAAGAGTAGTTAGCATTATAAGTTATAGACAGGGAACCAGAAAAAAGTCTGAACAGGACAAATTTCAAATGTTCATATCCAAGTCCCTTGGGATTTCTTGATGAGCGCTTCCAAAAGCATCCCTCTATTGGGTTCCTCCTCAGTTTTCTTTTGTCTGCCAAGGCTGGACTTAAGAGTGATGGACTCAGGATTTGTTTTCAGGCACTTTGATAGCTGTTGGAGTGGCTAGAATCAGTGTCACTTCCCCTCAAAGGCTTCTAGATAGGGGGAGAAAAAAAAATTAGCTATCATTTTAGAACAATAGTGGGTATCTCCCTTAGCTACAGGTGGACACTACATTATTGCAGACCAAGATTTTAAGTCTTACATCTGAGCAACACTTTCTGCTTAGAAACAAAATCATCAATGAGAAATAATTGTATAAATAATATTTTATATGGACTTAAGCCTAATGTCTGGAAAGTGTAATCCCTTGAACTCTTAAAGAAATATACTGACCCACTTTACTCTTTGGTTATACTTTCCTTTTGGGTGTTTAAGACCATACAGTTGGCCCAAATAAACCAATTTATTTTTACTCTTCAGGTTGTTGGAGGATCTGTTCCTCATGAGTCACACAGGCTTGGGAGGAGTCCCTGGCTCCTTTCTTTTACCAGTTTCATCTATGTGAAGATAAGTCAAAGGTCCTGCTCAACCACAGCTGGCTTCACTTGGAAACATTCGGGAAATGTTTCCTCTGAGTTGACCCTCCTCTTTCTAGGCTGAACACTGGTTCAAGTCCATCTGTTGGGGTCTCCATGGCCTCCCTGAACAAGAGGACAGGTGACTCACCACAGTTACAGGACACTTTGAGAGATGCTCCATAGTCCCCTGGAACTTAGTCGACCTTGGAGGGCAAGGATCAAAAACTGTCCTTTAAGTCCCTCTGACCAGATTAGTATAGGCCTCAAACTATGGCTGTTAAACATCCAAGAAAGTTAGTTCTACCTGTCTGGTACTTTTAATTACCATGTGCTATGTAGATAAAGCTTGCACAAAAACCAAACATTTTCAGATAAACCTTGACTAGACATATATTTTGTTCCTTAAACTAGTTGACTAAACTATGACCTTAGAGACAGGCATGGTGGCACATGCCTTTAATCCCAGCACTTGGGAGGCAGAGGCAGGTGGATCTCTGTGAGTTCAAGACCAGCCTGGTCTACATAGAGTTTCAGGCCAGCTGGAACTACAGGGAGACCCTGTCTCAAAAAGACCAAAAAAAAGTAGTAATAATAAACTATGACATTGGAAATTTTAAAATTGTGTGCATATTATTTTTATTTCATCCTTTATATATCATAGCAAACCTACACAGACCTTCATCTCTTGCTTAGGCTTTCTCATTTTTTCTATTTTGGAAAATATCTCCATTCCCATATCCTTTTAACATCTTTTTCATTCTCATTTTCTTTTTTAATAATTATGAGACATAACATTAACAAATAAATTTTTCATCTGTTGTAAGAATTCTTTTCCTGGGAATACTAACCAATGCTTATCCCCTTTAAGGTTCTAGTGTCAAACCAATTGTTGATTAAAGTATTCCTATGGAACCAATGGATTTACTGAGCTTGTTTACAGAGATGACTGAGGGCTTGCTGAGGTATATGAGTACCTGGGGACATGCACACTGGAAAGCCTTTACCCAGCATGGGTCATGCCTTCTCTTCCTAGCCTTCCCCAGATTATATGCTTTAGTCTTCCCCAATCAGGAGGCCATGTGTGATTAGGGTCAAATTACATACAGTTGGCTGGGAAGAGTGGCTGGATACTCTGGTGAGGGTCCACTGACCCTGTTTGCCCCTCCTTTAATGAAGGAGCACAATCGTCAACAAGCCCAGTTGTGATGATGTTTAGCAAACAGGCACAGCTGAAGGAAAGGGGCATTTTTTTATTTTTGTGAATCAAAGAAATGAAGTTTATTAGTGAATGGAATGGTCTAGAGATTTTCTAGGCTATGAAAAGAGCCTTTACTATAGGCAATTTCTCCCTCCTGTGAAATCAGCCTAAGGAAGAAGTATTTGTCCATCCCCTCTCTGCAGAACTTTGTTTTCTTATTCTGAGTGGCTCCCCCCACCTCCCTTGTAACT